GCCCGGCTCCAGCGCGCTGTGATAGCCACCGGGCCGGCGCTGCCGGCTGCTGTCCTTGTGGGACACGGTGGGAGACATGGCGTGCGCCGCCTCACCCGTCCATGCCGCGCCAGCTGCCACCTCGCACCGGTCCGCTCGCAGCTCCCGTCCCGCTCGCCCAGCCAATCAGCGGGCCCAGCGCAGCGCTGCCCCGCCCCCCCAGCCGGCTCGGTCCGCTAGTCTTAGCTGCCCCCCGGAAACAAGCGCCTGCACAAAGCTCCCACCCCCAGCCAGGAAAACCGAACTCCCCACTCAGCAGCGCTGGGCAGGCGTGGTCCCGTCCCATTGGCGCGAAGGCGGGTGACGTCAGGAGGAAGCTGTCCTATCACAGCAGAGCGGGGAAGAGGAGGGTAGAAAAAGGAAATGGGTGGGCGGAGTGCAACAGAGCGGTCCCGGTGGGTCGCGGCTGCGCGGCAGCGTCCGCGTGAGGCTGGCCCGGGCAATGCTACTCCTGCCCAGCCGCCTGCACGGCTGCTGCAGCAGCGCAGCCTCCATGCCCCGCCTGCCCCATCCCTGCCCGGTGATGGTGTGCGACCTGCATGGGCAGTGACCCTGGGAAGTCCTCTAGCCTGTTTCTGAGCCTGTGTGGATACAAGGCCTAGGGACAGCCCTTACACATAAACCGGTTTAAGTGATCAGAAACTGGTTTAAACCTGTAGCAGAAGAGATGCTCAGTGCATATAAACCAGTTTGAGAATGGCTGAAACCGGTTTGAGATAAACTTGGTTGAAGGTAGTATCAGACTTACCTGATTTGGCTCAAACTAGTTTATGCAATGACTGTCCCAGTCTGAGGCACCCCTGCTGGGTTGAGGGCAGCCTTCCTGAGACTCACCCGGTGCTTAGTTTCCACTCTTGTTGACTACAGGAAGATACCAGAGGGATTCTGCTGTGGGGGTGAGGCCAGGCCTTTGGATGTGCCGTTGCAGAGCTCCAGCCAAAGCGCGTAAGCTGTAAGACCCCCTTGATGAGAGGAGCCTCTACAGATATGTCACTGAGCACTGGGAACAAAAACAAGACAGAACAGGGATGGGAGTGAATGTCATTGGTTCATAGCACAATGACGGGGGACACCAAACAGCACACCAGATCATGCTGGCTGGCTCAAATGAGTCCAAGGAGCCAGTGGATGCTGCCCAGTGAAACTGCCTGGAAACTTGGAAGGCCAGGGACAAAAGTTACACATAAACCAGATTAAGTGATCAAAAACTGGCTTGAACCTGTAAAAACAGAAGTTCAGTGTGTAGAAACCAGTTTCCAAATGGCAGAAACTGGTTTAAGATAAACCTGGTTGAATGTAGCATCAGACTTAACTGATTTAGGTCAAACTGGTTTATGAAACTTCTGCCCAAGATCCCTTCCTGGTTCAAGTTAAATCACAGTCCCCCAGCATCCCAGCATGCTTTGCAGGGCTGGACTGGGCTGTCTGCTCCAGCGGACAAGGGTTGGGGAGGGGAGAGACAGGGACTACCCCCATCCCAAGCAAAGCCCATCCGGGGGGTTAAACTTTTTTCCCAGGACAGAGCTGCTCTGTCCTGCTAAACTTATTCCTGGCTGTGACTGAACTACAAATTCCAGAGGTCCCTGGAAGCAGGAAGAGGAAGTGATGAGCAACCCTGTGGAGTCCTGCTGTTGTGATTCTGGACTGCTGTGATTCTGGACCTTGGGGGCAGCAGGAAGAGGAAGCAAACACACAGCCCATGCTGGCTACATGCCAGAGAGCCATGCTCTAGCGCCTCCCAGCTTCTGGCCTGAGTCAGTGCAGGCGTGTGGTTGCAAAAAGTAAATATCTGTCCAGTTGTTTCTCAGTTTAATCTCTGCAGTTTAAACTACCCTGCAAAGACTGAATTGATTCAGCCTTGGGCTTTTTGACTGTCTATACTTAGCTGAACAGACCAGGGACTCAGGAAGCTCTCCAGCAGGTCAGCATGTTATTAACACTGTAGGTTCCTATTTGACATCTCTGGTTTTATCTTGGGAGTCATGGTTACACACCTTACAGTGCTAATGTTGTGCATCACCCTTCAAAGGATCTCACCACACCCCAGAGTGCCATGGCTCCCCGGTTAAGAATCACCGACCTACAGAATCCTAAAGAGATCATAGGTGGTACTGTGAGGGCCTTGCGTTTGCTTGGTGCCCAACCTAGAGGATTCTGAGGGAAGTGAGAGTCACAGATCCTGGCAGCCACTTGTTGGAGGTGACCCCATCTGAGCACAATCTGGGCCCAATCATTCTGACTGGTCCCATGCCACTTCCTTTTTCCCTTGGAACCGTAACATCACAAAGAAAGAAAGGAGCCATTCAGAGCTAGGAGCCAACATAATTGCAATGTAAGTGGAGACAAACACGGTATTGGTGTAAAGAGAGTAGTGAGAGGAAGCCTGCAAGAGAAGAAGAAAAAGAGGTTGTATTTGTATACACACACACACACTTATATATATATAGATATAGATATAAATATAAGTCTATATATAGATATATATCACACACATGCTAACAGATCATTCATATGATATATTCCCTATGTCTCATTAATTGAATCAGGGAGTAAGGACTTTCTTTGGGCAATTATTGATCTGCCTATCAAACTAAATATATCTGATACTTGTCATTTGAATGATTCTACAAATATTACTAAAGCCTGTATAAAGAGTATTGAAAATTGCTCACAGACTATGTATATATAGTGGGAGCATCTACATATTCATTAATGTGCAGTAGTTACTATGTATTTAGTTTAGTACTTGCTTAATGAAGAACTAACTAAATGTGCAGTAACTACAATTACTGCGCAGTAGTACCAGCTCAGTTTTTACTGATACTTACTGCACAGTAGCCTAATACCATTGCACAGTAGCATATTAACATGGTTTTTGCCTGGCACACTTCTGTTATTAGGCAGTAGCACATTACATGTCTCATGTAGACGCACCCACTAATATCTGTAATTGATACAGGTATGAGAAGAAAATTTAATTATAGAACTAGTTTTGAGCATCTTTTTTGATAAGGAAAAGACTAGCAGGATAGCATCTTTTTGATAAGGGAAAGACTAGGAGGACAGTATCAGTACACAGCAGGATATGCTGTATGTACACATGATAAATTGCTAGAATTAAGTAAGGAAAAATACGTTAGATAATGTAGTAAAATTATGTATTATTAAACACCCGTAAAAAGTTTGATAATAAAACACTGAGCTAGCAATTAAGGAAACCTGGGAACTAAAAAGGCAATTCATTCAGAGGTAGTGTCAAGGGAAATCATAGCTGAAACCAGGAAAATTATTCACTTTATTCTGTGAAGCACTTTGCATCTCAGTCATTGAAGAAGATTGAAATCCTATTATCCTAAATACACTATTCCCAGTGTTTTAAAAGATAACATTTGTGAAGTCAGATGAATTAAGGGGTTAAAAAGAAGTAGCTTCCATGACAGGATGTATTGCTAGGTTTTAATCAGTACAATCTTTCTCACCACATTCAGTAAGATAAAAACCTGAGTGGAAGTATATTAAGATGGGACTGGGAGCCAGGCATACCTGAGTTCTGCCGCTAAGTTGCTCTGGCCTAGCCTTTTAACCTCTCTGTCATGTAATATTTGCCTACCCACCTTAGGGTTTCATGAAGGATGAATTTTTTAATGTTGTACAGATCTTTGAAGATGGAGGTCTGAGGGGCAGGGATAGAGGCAGCAGGGCAATGTAGCAGCAGTTGCAGCTCCTGCCTCAACCCTGGGTTGGAGCCAGAGCAGCTACCTGCCCACCCCCTTCCCCTCAATAACTTGCTTACAAGATGAGGGACTTCCCCACCCCACACACCATTAAATGGGGGATGGGGACAGCTCATCTTAGAATCTAGTAACTATGGCAGATGTGAAGAGCTGGGCTGCATTGAAGTGATAATAGAAATTTTAGAACAATCAATACATTAAACATTATTAAATCACTAGGACCAGATGGTATTCACCCCAGTTCTGAAGGAAATGCAGAATTGCTGGCAAAGGTATGTAATTTATCCCTACAAACTGCCTCTGTGCTAGCAGACGGCAGGTTGCCAACATAACATCCCTTTTCAAAAAGGGCTCCCGAGCTTATTAACTCCTGTTGCAGGATACAGTAATGTAATTAAAGACAATAACAATGCATTTGCGCAGAGGGCCAAATCAAGTTTTTAGAGGCAACCTTCTTTGTGGCATTTGCTTAACCTTTGAGTGCTTGACTTTGCGACCTTGCTACAGTATTTCTTTAATGCAATCTTTCTTTAATCTGTGCAGGAACCTCCCACTGTTGGACATTTCAGCAAATTAAAGAGAATGTTATAATTTAGGTTCAAGAATCTTAACCTCTTTACAGTGACTAACTCTGTTAGAATCACTGCCTTATGCAACTAGGAGAGATGCTTTTTAAAACAACTCTGATTTTGATACTATCAATTTTGGAAGAAAAGGCTAAGAAATTATTGGTCCTTCATAGAAGATGAACTCCTTAATTTATATTAAGCAGTTATCATATCCAAATTCATTTCTTCTGCTCCTGTGTATCACATGGTAAGATCTTTTTACTACATACTTTGTGGCTTCATGAGAGGGGCTGGAGGGGATGTTCTTGTGAATCCTTTGGCCATGTAGGAAACATGTTTTTTGTAAATGTAGGAAACAGGATTTGATGGCCCAAGAAGAGCCTTCCAGTCCTATATGCCTCTGGTAATTAGGGTGGCTATCATAGAGGACAGTCTGGTTGTTGTCTGTCCTCTATTTATATGAAACCTAACACATTTGTGTCCTCTATTTTTCTCTTGAAGAGAGAAATTGAGGACATAAAGGCATCAGGTTTCATATCAATAGACAACAGAGTTGCAGAAAACTGGAATGTCCTCTATAATGGCCACCCTACTGGTAATAAGTGTCCTGTTTTTGCCATTTGTAACAGGGCCTCTATCCCATTACTAAGGAGGGGAAGCCTGGAGAGAGAGACATGGCACCTTTAAAAGGACCCTGAGCTGTGTATTGAGGGGCACTAGGGTTCTGTGGGAACTACTGTTAGGTTGCAGAGCCCTGGAAGAGCCACTGCTTGGCTCCAAGAGCTGCTGCTAAGTGTCCAGACACTATAGGAGCTGCTGGAAACCCAGAGATTCTGGAGAAAGCTGCTGCCCCTTCCTCAAGTACTGGAAGTGCAGCCAGCTTGCAGAGCCAAGCAGCTGCAAGATTCCAGACACTAATTAACCAGCCCTAATAGGAGAGTGGTCACAGCTGACCTGAAGACTCCAGGAATGAGAGCCAGGAGAAAAGGCTAGCAGCCTATTAAGAGAGAGGCAGATCAGGTAGCCAGAAAAGGAGGGGGCAAGGCCTTAATAAGACCTAGACCCACAAATAGGGCCTTTGATTGGACCTGGTAAGGCTCATAGGAGGAGTTCTGCCGAGACTGGAGTGGAGGTAGTCCTGTAAGAGAGCTTGTATTGAAGCTAAGTGATTGATGTTGTATACTTTGTTTATATTGCTGTTTTAAAAGCTGTGAGGTATAGGAGTGAACAGATACCAGGGAGCAACAGGTTTACCTAAGCCAGCTGTGGCTTGCTATACCGCTGTTTGATAACAACCACAACAATAGCTTATGAGGATTTAAAAAAAAAAAGGAAAAAAACCCTTTTACTAGATCCTCTTAGAAATATGTTTATTTCACAAACAAAGCATTTCTTGATATCCTTTGCAATTGCATAACTATCATGTAGTACAAGACCAACTTTAAACAGAAAATTAGTAACTTCTTGTTTAAGTAATCAGGAACTTTGTAACGGGGAGGGGACACAAAACTGCTTACAAAACTACATTCCTGTTTCTTAAGAAGGTAACCTGGAGCTTCTATGCTGAATATGTTTTCAGGCACTAATCAGAAAAGGTGTACTCCTGTGGGATGTGTAGAACTGAAAAATGACAACTCTTACTTTTTTTTTCTTTTGAAGAGCTCATTGCTACCACAGCTGAAAGAGTGAATATAGCATTTAGTCTTGATCTGGGTTTGATTTAAAGATTGGCTTGGAGGACAAAAATGCCCTAGTACTGTGTTAATTGCTTGTGATATGGCTCCTATAAACAAAAGAAGTGTTAGTATTTTGGTACTGAAAATCTGAAAACAAGTTTCTAATCCCCATCCCACCAAAATAATAATAATAAAAAAAGACAAAGAACCCCCCTTACAACTGACTTTGTAGATGCAATAATAATGGGCATATAAGGGTTAGCTAACAGATTCAGGATGCAGCTAGCAAGACTATTCTTTAGGAAGTATAACCAAATATACCTGTTTCACTTAACATCTTATGCCCCTTCCTCCTGTGGACAGGCAGCCCAGCCACTGGTTACCAACAAGTCTGAAAGTATCTTTTATCACTTTATATTTTCAAGGCTATTAGTGCCTTCAGTCGAGTCTTGTATAGTTTTCTACATTTTTTTTTTTTTTTCAACTTTGAGGCAGAACTGGAATTTGGGTTTCATGAAGTCCACAGACTCAACATACCTTTATTCAAATCCCTCTGGCTGGAGTGAGTGTAAACATAAAGGAATTTATTGGACTAAAAAAAAAAATAAAATGAAAACAGTGGAACATGCCTCCTGAAACTCCAGCATGGAAAGTAGTAGTAAAAAAAAAGGAAAAAAGTTTGTCTGAAAGGATAAACCTTTGTAAGATTATCTATAACTACAATCATGTATGTTTCCTGAATTTCATATGTATATCTATAGTTTTACTCCCTAAAACTATAGATGAGAAAAAAGGAACTAGCCACCTCCTAGTGAATAAAAGGTGGAATTACATGTCTTGTGTGCACAACATAAAGAAGGCCTTGTTTGCTCTGTTCTAGTGTTTGCTCAAGTGATCTTCACCCTGATCCTCAAAGGTGCTGAGAAATTGCATCTCAAGAATTGGGACTGTACTTAGCACTCAGGAATAAAATTCTAGCTCCATTGAAGTCAATGGGTAATCTGACTTCAGTGGGACCTGGATTTCTCACTAGCTCTCCAAAGTTCAAAGTGATTGTGCTCTCACCATGCATAGTGTTATACGACTTCCTGTTTGTAAAGAAACCTACTAAATTTTCTTAAAGGTAAGAAGTAGCTTCAGCTCCTGCTGTCTAGCTCCTTTTCTCTTAACTATTGATGTTACAATGATGGCAAGAATACCAAGCGCTACTAAGTTCGATAGTAAACTTCAGCAGGTGCGATCCTATCTTTCTCCTAAAATATTCATATTTATACCTTTGCATATTAATAAGACACTGTCAGAAATACCTGTTTTCTCTCTTCCCCGTTGGTTATTTTTGCAACTTTGGAGATCAATTCTTCCATTCTTCAATTCTGTTGATTTCTTTAAAGAAATTTGTTAGCATGATATGATCAAAATCTTTAGAGCAGAAACATTCACGCTTTGATATTATTCTTAGCACAAAAGACCTTTTTTGGAATTCACTTTAGTAGAGAAGAATGTGATACTTGAGACGGGCTAATTCTGCTTCAATTTATTCTCTGACTAGAAGTCTTGTTGTCCCCTCCCCCACTTATCTTAAACCCTTTTGTGAAACTTCCAAGATATTACTAGTGTTACCTTCCAAAAATCTCTTTGATTTCAGATGAGCATTTTCAAAGATGCATAAATTTGAAAGTGGTTTTTTTTTGCAAAATGTTAATAATAAAAGTTTCTTTTTATAAATATTCAAGTGCCAATTTCCACTACTTTTACCTTCAAAATGGACTCAAATGAACACAGTACTGCCAACTGCAAATATTATTACAATTTTTTTTTAATGCCTTGGAAATCACAAGATTGGCTTTAAGAACATAATTTGTTCTAAGTAATGAATTCCAGGCTTGAGCCTTTGAGAGTTATGCTTTGAAATTATTTTCCATCATTTTGAAAGTTTTAAAAAGTTAAATTGAATGCTGAAATTCTGACTCGGTTAAATGACACCAGGAAATGGGTTTTTAGAAAATCATGATGATAAAATGATGGAGTTGACAACATTTATATTGTTTCTGACAACGTTTTGACTTGCCAGGCATTCCTACATAGATTAACTGTGCAAAGGGCATAAGCATCTTAAATGAGTGAATATGCACTGGCATTGAGTTTGATCAGCAGGCCATATTCCAGATTGTGAGGAACACTTGCCTTGATTTCTGAGGTCTGTGTATGCTGAGCTAGAAGATGCATGTACCAGGCCTAAGAAAGTTAACTCTGGAGTTGCTGGGAGAGCTGAAAGAGAACTGTTGTACCTCCTGTGTCTTCTGGGTCACATTCCGGGAGCACGCATACAACTTTGAAATATGAATTTGACTTTGGGACAACATGCATGTGTAATGTGATTTATATCTTTTTTGGATATACATGCCTAGTAGAAGTGGCCCCTAACTCATGGTAGCCCTGATCATATGAAGATGTTTTTATTTTTACATGCCGTGAATAGTGGCAAACAAACAAAGCACTTCCTTTCTCGAGCATCACATCAATAAATAAAAAATATTTAACAAACAGAGAAATATACAATCAAATGTAGATGCACAATTCTATAATTAATAGAGTTGCATTGTTCCATATTAGTAGCATTCTGTCACTTTTATAATTCTGGCAGCTTTTATAATTAGTATTCTGTCATTTAATTCGCTTGTAAGTGAATGCATGCTAATTACAAATGCTGGTTGCAACAGAATGGTACTAATAAGGAACAAGGGAACCAAAATGTGCCCAATAAAGTTGGAATTCCATTGATGTGGTTCCAGTGGCATTGTCAACTTTGACAGCAAAGCTCACATAGTTGCTTACTTGAATCAAAAGCCTGAGATAGAAAAACAATCTTAATTTATGCACAGCTAATTTGTGCACTACTTTTGCAATACAGCATCATATGCCATGTGCTGCTGGTGATTAATGAATTCCTTGGTTGCATATACTCTATGGAATTTCTGCTTCCAATACAAGTCAGCCTTGATCCTATAAAGACTTACACATGTGCTTAATCTTGTAAACTGTGAATGGTCCCATTAAAGTCAATGGAAGTATTCAAGTATGTGAAGTTATGCAGGTACTTAAGTTTTTTGCAGGATAAGGTTTTTAGCCAGTATTAATGCTGATTTATAAAGTGCCTTATTGTCAAGTGGGCTTCTATTTAAAATATGAAAGGCAAAAGGGGGAATAAGTGTTGTGACTTTAAAAACAAAACAAACGAACAAAAAAACCCCAGCTTTACTGCAAACAAACAAACAAAAAAAATCTTGAGGTGAGTACATTATACACAAGAGGTCAAGTAAGGATAAATTATACAGGTCATCCCAAAGGAGAAACAATAAATCCCTCAATACACATTCTTTAGATCTGCTACAGAAAAAATGTATTTATCCAGTGTCTAGCACAGCAGGCCCTTAGTTTAATGAGGTCTTGACCTGAGAAGGCTTGCACATCTGCTTTAAATCAAGCACATTACTAAACATTTAGGAATCATGGCCTGTGGTTGTAGCTTTTAAAGCATTTATTTTATTTATTTATTAACTGGACTTGATTCTGCAGACTCTGCTGATGAATCCTTAACTTCTACTACCAGGTTTCCCACTGGGTGACACTAATGCACACGTATGTGCGCGCAGGACTGGGTTTCAGGATAGAACCAGTCTAAAAACAGCCTGGTACATCCACTGGAAAACTGGGGATAGGAGGGGGAAAAAGGATAACCTATGCTCACAAAAACAATAAAGTAGTTTTCAACTTGTATGTTCAAAAAAAGGTGTTTTGTTTTTCCTATTGAAACATTTGTGAACACATTCAAATCTCTCAGGACTTTTGTTTTGTTTAAATCAGCAGCTGTATGTGTTTTTGGGTTTTTTGTTGTGTTGGGGGTGGGTTTTCTTTGTGCCATACTTAAAAACCCGGCCCAACGTTGACATCTTGGTGAAGAATTGCAAGAGGGCCCGTGTTCGCCCTGGGCTGCCCGCGGAGCCGGCTCCGCCCGGCCCCGGACTAGTCTCCTCGCGGGGGAGGCGAAGCGACGCGGGTGCCCGCCGGGAGCAGGCGGCTGCCGGGGGTCTTTTGCTGGGGGAGGAAGGAGCAGCTGGACCCGCAGCGCGCCCGCCCGGCCCGGCAGGAACAGAGGTGCCAACGGCTCCTACCCGGGACCGTTGCTGCCAGCCGGGGCCTCCGCCGCACCGCGGCCTCCGGGAGAGTGGAGGGGGTCGCAGCACCGCTCCGCCCCGCCTCTTCCGCCGCCTCCGGCTCTGGCCTGTTCCCGCCCCCGGGGAGAAGAGGCGGGCGCGGCGGCCGGCTCCGCCCAGTGGCGGCGGTGGGAGCGGGGCTCACACGGGCAGGATTAGCTCATCTCGGCGGCCGCTCCGCAGCAGCCTCCCCTCGCCCCGGGCGCCGCCGCCCGACCCGGAGCGCCGCCTGCCC